GAAGGTAAAGAGACAAGATCCCACGTATGACTACGTTGAAGAGCGTCCATCTCTGTTTTCATGGCAAGAACCCACTGGGGCTCCCGCATAGCCTCTGAAACAGAGCGAGGAACCGACATATCTAATAAGACCATACTATAAACTCATATCACCATAAGAAACATAAGTAGAGATCGGATATAAAATTCTGGTGGTCCAACAACTGGACGGCAATCACGTTGTGGATAACGACGCCCTAAATCATCATCTTCCACTGACAATGTCTTATCAGCGAAAGTAACTGGCTCAGTACCTGTAATCTCACTAGTACTAACAACAGGTGCATCAATATGCTCAACAAACTGAGAAGTACTACCTACATCACTTAAGATAAAGGGGACATCAATAAGGGACTGAGAGCGAGGGTGACGAACATAAACCTGCAAAGGAAGAGAGACTGGTGACTCTGTATTGACAAGGACGAGTGGCTCTGGAGGAAGAGAGATTGATGACTCTGTAGTGATAGTGATCTATGGCTCTGGCTCCTATGGTAATGGAAAATCAAAGGGTGTATCATCAACTAGCAGGGTAGACACAGGACTGGAAGAAAAATAAGAAATGTGCTCAAGAAATGTAACATTTAGACTATGATACATATGACGCCTGATAGGATTATAACACCAATACCCCTTAGACTGATGATAATAGCCTATAAAGACACAATAAATCGCTTTATCATCAAGCTCATAGCGAGAAGACCGATCCTAAACAAAACATGTGCAACCAAAAATACAAGAGGGCATAAAAAAAATTGTTCGCTCAGGAAATAAGACTTATAATAGAGCCCTATACTGAAGAACACGACTCGGTGTACGATTATACGGAAAGGTAGAAGTCAAAATAGAAAAATGTCAATAAAATTTTGATATCCCCATACCTCTAAGCATACAACGTACCATCTCTATTAGACTCTTATTTTTTCTTTCAGCAACTTCATTTTGCTCAAGAGTATATGGACAAGTGAACTGCTGAAGGATACTTTGAGAGGAAAGGTAAGACACTAAGGCATCAGACACATATTTTTTGGCATTATCCGAGCGAAGAGTATGAACAATGACATCGAATTGTGTCTTAATCATTTNACATATCTAATAAGACCATACTATAAACTCATATCACCATAAGAAACATAAGTAGAGATCGGATATAAAATTCTGGTGGTCCAACAACTGGACGGCAATCACGTTGTGGATAACGACGCCCTAAATCATCATCTTCCACTGACAATGTCTTATCAGCGAAAGTAACTGGCTCAGTACCTGTAATCTCACTAGTACTAACAACAGGTGCATCAATATGCTCAACAAACTGAGAAGTACTACCTACATCACTTAAGATAAAGGGGACATCAATAAGGGACTGAGAGCGAGGGTGACGAACATAAACCTGCAAAGGAAGAGAGACTGGTGACTCTGTATTGACAAGGACGAGTGGCTCTGGAGGAAGAGAGATTGATGACTCTGTAGTGATAGTGATCTATGGCTCTGGCTCCTATGGTAATGGAAAATCAAAGGGTGTATCATCAACTAGCAGGGTAGACACAGGACTGGAAGAAAAATAAGAAATGTGCTCAAGAAATGTAACATTTAGACTATGATACATATGACGCCTGATAGGATTATAACACCAATACCCCTTAGACTGATGATAATAGCCTATAAAGACACAATAAATCGCTTTATCATCAAGCTCATAGCGAGAAGACCGATCCTAAACAAAACATGTGCAACCAAAAATACAAGAGGGCATAAAAAAAATTGTTCGCTCAGGAAATAAGACTTATAATAGAGCCCTATACTGAAGAACACGACTCGGTGTACGATTATACGGAAAGGTAGAAGTCAAAATAGAAAAATGTCAATAAAATTTTGATATCCCCATACCTCTAAGCATACAACGTACCATCTCTATTAGACTCTTATTTTTTCTTTCAGCAACTTCATTTTGCTCAAGAGTATATGGACAAGTGAACTGCTGAAGGATACTTTGAGAGGAAAGGTAAGACACTAAGGCATCAGACACATATTTTTTGGCATTATCCGAGCGAAGAGTATGAACAATGACATCGAATTGTGTCTTAATCATTTGGAGAAACTGAGTGATGACAGGGAATACATCAAACTTCCAATACAAAAGGTAGACCATGTACAATGGGTATGATCATCTATAAATGTCATATAGTATCGAGCACCTGACAGAGCAGCAACAGGAGAGGGTCCCCAAATATCAAAGTGTATTAGGTCAAATGGCTTGCGTGACTGGTGCATGCGAGGAATATAACTGGTCCAAACATGTTTCGATAAGAAACATACAACACAGCTAAGTTTACCACCAATACAAGCATTGCTCAAAGTAGAAAATAACATACATAAATATTTAAAATTTGTATACCCAAAATGGTCAAGCCACAACTGAACAGTTTGTGATGAAAAATAATAACGACAAGTATTAGGAAAAATATTATCATGTAAGCTAAGAACAGATAAAGACAAAGCAGGTGCAGGTGATGAAGGTGGAGGAACTGGTGAAACTAGAGGTGCAGGTGATGGAGATGGAGGAACTGGTGAAATTGGATGTGGATCGCCTAGATAATACAGTTCATCTCTCTCATGTCCCTTGATAATAATCCTCCTGGTACTCAGGTCCTGCAAATAACACGAATCAGATAAAAACACAACTGCACAGTAAAAATCTCTGGCTAGGTGATGTACAGATAATAGATTCATGGCCAATTTTGGCACATGAAAAACCGAACGTAATGTAAAGCCATCTGGGAGGCGAATTGTTACCCTACTAACAATATGGGCATGTGTCCAATTTGCTAGTTGAATCTGTCTATGTAACTACTTGTCAAAAGTGGTGAAGTAATGGGCTTCACCTATCATATGACCATTCGCACCCGACTCCAACATCCAAAGGGGAGATGGATTGGCGCAAGTATGAAAAACACGAGATATACCAGTAGTGGTGATAGTAGCAATAGTCGAATCCTGAGAAGTCAGGGTAGATACAAGTATATCCAATCAGGAAGTGATAGCATCCATATCACTCTACCAAGGAGGAGTAGTAGCAATAGGTGGTGATAACTCAGTAATAACAGCAGTACGATCGTGAGAAGGCGACTTAAGCTCCGGATGGAGCTTCCAGCAAGTAGCCATCAGATGTCCTAATTGACCACAATAATTACACTGACAAGAAACTTCCTTTCTGCGCTATTCTGGGGTGCCCTATCAGCGCTGGTCCGGGTGACCCGACGGTACATTTCAAGTGGAAGAACTAACAATAGATGTCTCAATAATAGAAGTCTCAAGTCCCTCAGTAGTAGTCATATCAATCAACAATACGTGGGCACTTGTGACAGAAAAAAACTCTTATGATAAATAGAGGGATAAAATAAGGGAGAACAATATACCTCCAGTCGAACAATAGCAATAGATAAAGGAGGTCCAGACAACTCCCAAATAATCAGGTGACGATGCCCAGAAATCTAGAAAATATATAAGAGATCTACTGCATCAAAAGCAGATCAACATAGAAGAGCGCAGCGCACGAAGCTACAACCCTTGTAAAAAAAAAGTCATGATGCGAAGAGATGATGACACTATAATGAAGAGCGCAGTGCACAAATGAGAGACAACTGTTATAATTTGGTCTGAATTAGGTCACTGTTGGTCTAGTCTAGGTTTGGGTTGGTGTCGGTTTGAGACGGGCAGTGGGTTGGTGCTGAGAGGTTGGGTTCGTTTGGTTTATTGGGTTGGGCAGTGGGCTGCTATGGGTTCATGTGGTTTATTGGGCTGGTGTGCAATGGGCTGGTCTGGGTTCAGTGTGTCATTGGCTACTATTGTTGGTTTTTGCTATTGTTTATAGAAGGTTGTGCATTGGGTTTGTCAGTGGGAAAGCTGTGTATTGGGTTTGTTTATAGTAGGCTGTGTATTGTGGGCAGTGTATTGTCGCTGGGAAAGCGGTGGACTGGTATGGGTTTATCGATTGATGGGCAGTTGGTACTTGGCTGTATGCTCTCGATGAAGTTGTGTTATCGGTTGGGTAATTGGATGCTGGGCTGCATGCTGTCGGTGGAAAGTTGCTGGCTCTTGTCGGTGAAGAGAAAGATGGTGAGGGAAGGATGGGTTGTTGGCTGTTGGTTGAAGGCTGCTGGTTGTCGTGGGTGAGCAACGACTTGGAGGTTTGGTTGGCTGGTTTGTTTCACAATGATTAGCGAAGGCTAGGTTTAGGTTTAGGGTTGGTGGCTCTGATACCAGTTAGAAATATGTGTGAGTGAAAGGGATATTCAAACTAAAAGTAGAATCCTGTATATATAGTCAAATAATAATATAAAGTGACCTATATATTCTTGTAATTTAGATAAAATATAAAAATCATAGTAAGGATAAAAAAAGAAAAGGAATAAATTAAAAGAAATTCTAATTAACTAAGATTATACTCCGACGCTTCCTAGACAATTCACAAACAAGGCACGCCACCATTCAGCCAATCAATCAGATTGTGATGAGGAGTCGCTTCCCCAAAGATCGAGCGCACCTAATACTTCTGGTGCCATCAAGTCATTAGTAGGAGTAATCATCTCTAGGGGAGACCATCACGACTCTTGGGAGCCACAAGGACAGATTCCAGAGGCATTGCTGACACATTGTGCTTTTCACCATCAGATACAATTGAGCATATTAGATACCTTCATAGTCTCTCTCCTCCACAAACTTCCTATGTGTTTCAGCACATTCTTCCGAGGTCTTTAGTAACAACATTTGAGTCTACCACTTGTGGTGGAAATTACCCATCTCAACTAAGCTTCCCTGCTGCTTCCATAGAAGGGATTTAGTCACAGAATGAGATTGATATCAATGTTCTGAGACGGCAATTTGAGCAACCTGTTCTCAATACGCTTAGACTAGCTGATAATTTTTTAAATGGTTTAACATCACTAAGAATTTTACCCGCCAATGATGGAGGGAACTTCAGACTCCCCAGCGGTATATGTTTCTTTTCGTGTGTTACTAACATTTATATAAAATATTTAGACTCTTAGACTAGCTGGTAATTCTTGCTTTAGAATTTTCAAGTAGATTATTTAAATGTTTGCATTTGCTTACCTAGGTAGTATTTTCCTTGTTTTCTTGACATGTTGATAGGACACTTGGCCTCAACGATTGTCCTAACACAAAAGCTTCAAGTGCTTTACTCAAATCAGATTTTTTGAGTAACCTTTCCTAGTTTATTACACAACCCATTTGGCCAAGTTTTTGGAAGCACCTTGTTAACATGTACTGAGATGAAACCATAGCCGAAATTCCCACTCTCTCTTAAATGGTCTACTAATTGCGAAGAAGAAATTTACCAGAAAAAACAAAGAAAAATTTCACATGGTGGCTAAAGTTGCTGCTCCTTGGTTCCATGATTCTTTTTCAACAATCTTCTTGGCAATCCAGGATAGGAAAAGTGATTGTCATAATACGGCCTTCAATTACATTTCTGTAAAACTAGCAATTTGTTCCTTCGAACCCGAAAAAAATCCAACTTCACTTTGATTGGTAAAATTATTTTACTTGAATGTCTAGCTCCAGGATATTGCTCCATCAAGCCCCAAGTGGCTAACATGCTGCCATAGTGCCATTACGTGATGAAAAAAGGATTTGTCATGCTGCATATTCTTAAAATTTCTTATCTACTATAATAACGTCACAAAGGGCTTAGATGAATTGTGCATGAGATACGACACAACAGCATTGTCTTCGTCAAAAAAAAGAATGCCACTTTTTGTCACACTGGCTGGAACAAGTACTGCTAAATGCCAATAGCTGTTGATAATAAGTTCTCTAGCGGGGGTTTGATTGCAATTGCACCATCTTTTACTAGATGTTGTTTGAATAATGATATTACAAGGAAGCACACATTAAGCATATGAAATTTAAATCTCAAGTACCTTCTGAGGAAAACAAACTCTTAAGCATGCTTGAAGGTGTCTTAGTTTCTAATTAATATACCATTTTCGTTGATAGTATTAATTCGATTTAGCTCACATGTTGTTCCTACTACAGGAGCAGGACATTCCATTTTCAACTCGGTCATTATTATTCTATGTAACTGATACTCGTGATCGTTATAGAGACATGCAACTAGATGTGGATAACATGTCCTATGAGGTAAACTCATACAAATCCCTTTATCCGTACAATTTAAATACATCATTTGTTCATCTTTTTGTCTTGATTCATATCAGGAGCTCTTGGCATTGGGAGATTATATAGGGAATGTTAGCATGGGTTTGTCTGAAGAAACAATACTTAAGCCCCTCAAATGCAGTAAGTACTTTTTATTTGCAGAAGAGAACGCTAAGAAGGACTCTTGCAGAATATGCCAGGTACTTTTAATTAGTATTTCTTGTCTAACAAGAACGTTTAATATTCCTTGAGAAAGTTATGCAACATAATTGCTTTAATGGCAGGAGGATTATGTGGAATATGATGATTTGGGGACAATGAATTGTGGTCATTGCTTCCATACTGAGTGTATTAAACCATGGTTACGATGCAAAAATCTCTGCCCTGTATGTAAATCTACTAGTTTATACACGACATGCCACTCATTACTACAAATTTGTAGTTTATAACTGCTTCATGTAATAGTAAACATTCAATTTTATCTATTTATTGGTGACCGTTCTCTTATAGTGGAGGAAGTTGTATTTTCAAGGGGGGATAGAGAAGCACCCTTTTGATTAACAATATTACCACTATATCTTGTTCGACCATGTTGATTCCAGTCCTCTTTCAATGAAGCAAATGTGTTTCTAAGAGTTGAAAACATGAAGTTCAAATTATTAACAGATTTATGGCTACAATTCTACAATTCTTGCAAGACTTCTCCCACTTTTTTGCCTGCAATGGTGTGTGTACTGAACCAGGGCAGTTTGGGGGTTTTGAAAGGGTTACTCTTGTGTAAAACATTTGAGGTATAACTGTAATATATAATTTACTTTAAATTTAGTCTCCATTTATGTTAGATTGATTTATGTATATACCTTATCTATAAACGTAAAAGATCAAGAAACTGCATCGCTTATTGACAAAAATAAAATTTTGGGCATGTTATGTAAGTACTTTAAGATTATAGTCAATGCAAATCATCAAGACTCGCACTTAGAAACTAAAAAAACAATTGACAAGAACTCTGGAGTATGAACTCAGGTTGAAGTTCTAAATGCTACCACTGAGCGCATCCACGAGCAAAATTTATCTCCCCTTCTGTTGTTGAGTCTCCATTGCTTGAGTTTATCTGATTCAGATTTTTCTTGTGTTGTATGGTAAGTCAGAGCTCTTGTCTGAATAATTTATGATTGATCAAGTGCCTGATCATCAATCAAGTCAAATAGTTCATCTCCAATCGCAAATCCAAGCATCCTAGCCATGTCTTTTGTCTCCAATCTAGGCTTTGGAACATTATGTTTCTTCAACCAAGAATATACAATAAAAAAAATTTTCATGATGAACAATTCTAGGGCCTCGGGGTTAAAGACTACTCCCATTCTCATGCTCATCTGCCAACCAACTTTCCAATAAAGTTAGGTCCTGAATCCTCTCTGTCTCTTACACCCACACACACTAATAGTTACCTGATGAGGAACCAACATGGTTGTATAATGTGCGAGTTCTCCAGCTCGCCAGTCCAACAAGACGGGGAGCCATGGATAAGTAGCATCAAGTCTCAAAAACCAGTCTTATCTCAAGAAACTCTGATAGTTCTCTAGGATCATGTTCATCTTCTCTAGTGTAGTTAATGGTGAAGCCAATTGTACGTTCAAGAAACTCCTTAGGCTTAGCTACGATTGTAACAGTTAAAAAGGCTTGTGATTATCTATAATTTAATTATACGAACACAGTTAAATTTCTCGACATCATACTTACCAGACAAAGGAGAGGTGATTCCAGTGGCAGAGTGAAATGGGGCCAAGTCTAGGAGATGAATACTATCATTATCAAGTAGTACTTCATGTCGCCCTTCTTTGGTGGCATTGGTGGTTGAACTTTCTCTGATTCTGCCAATCAAAAATTGTCGAAGTAAAAATATGCTAGTCTTGGGCAACTTAAACTGTATTTGTTGCTTATCTCAGGCAAGGGGAGTGCTCTTGATGCATCTAAATAAGATTGACTTTTATTGTACATTGATTTTCTTAATTTGTTTCAGGTGAACATAGCTTCGCATACGCACATTTCATTTCACTAATTCACATTGTATAATATTGTCTGTTTTGAGTTTGGCCAACACGGGTTGAAAACGCATTGTACAATGAAGCACTAAACCTTGCACTAAAACTCTTTAGGTTATCAAACACTTCACCCACACAGATTCACAATGGAATAGTTCTCTTCAACCTCCAAAATGGTTGTACTCAGAACCAGGCAATCCTTCACATGGTATCACTTCAACAGATTAATATGCTTGAAGTTTATGAACTTGAAGATGACAAAATCTTAAGACATTTAGCATAACAATAAGTAGATAAATAATGTTATAGACTAGTTTGAATGATTATAGTAGTCCACCTATCCCAATTTCAGTCATTTATGTCCAAATGTCTGAAAACCATCTCACGGGTAAAACTGCGTATATCAAATGTTCTCTAGGGATTTTGTTTCTAACACTTTATGCCTATCCAAGAAAGGGCCGTAAATTCTTACATCCACCATAGCATCACCAAAAGGTACCTTTCAAAAAACAGAGGAACAACAATTTTAGTGAAACAAGGGAAGCCCTTACCATCTTCCTCATTATATAGAGAGAGATCGAAGTTCCCTGAAGGATTGAATGCCACTGAGGCTGCAACTTGTCTCCGTTGTCGACTCAAGTATGATATTGAAAAAGAAGCCAAAGACTCAGAGATGGACTTGCAGGAAATTAGTGAAGTTGGAGGGGGAGGAGGAGAAATGTTCTGTTTTAGTGGAGAAGAAAGTGGACATGGTGGTTTGATGGTAGCCACAGGTGTTGTACCAGGCGGTCAGTGTTTTTCTCTGGGCTGTTACAGTTAAGCTGTCAAAATCCACGATACAATTAATTGATATCGGTTAAACGGATTTAGGTAAAACTTTAACGGGTTCAAATTATAAACGGATCAATCCGTTTAACACGTTTAATAAACAGGTCGTGTTTGAGCGAGATATGTCAACTCGTTTATCCGTTTAAATAAATTTAATATAATAATAAATTAATAATTATTTTTAAAAAATTAACCAGAATTTTTCTTTTTCTAATTCCATCTGCACTCTTCTACAGGCTGAAGCTTTTTTGTGCGCCTCCAGTCTAGGCCCTCCACTCTTCTGCTATTCTCTCTCTCTCTCTCTCTCTCTCTCTCTCTCTCTCTCTCTCCCTCTCTCTCTCTCTCTCTCTCTCTCAGCGAACAGTGAGTAGCGAGCTGCGAGATCGAGCAAGTTTTATATTTAGATCGAGCTAGATTTCGAGTAAATCTATGTTAGATCTGTAAATCTTCGAGCCAAGACTTCGATTAGGTAAATCTTCGATAACGGAGTCTTAGTCTTAATTTGATTAGTTAATTTTAGGTTTTTTGTGAATTTAAATCTTTTTAATTTATGTGTTCTTTGTTATTTGTATTTAGATATGTATTTTGATCTGTGTTCTTTGTTATTCGACTGCGCTGCTATGAAGTATTATGATGCTAAATGATTCCTTTCTCAATCAATGAGATGCCGATACACAAAATGAAGTGTATTGAGCATTATTTTATGGACAAATGTATGAGTATTGAGCATTGCGCTGTGCTGCTAGAATATTTTTTCTGTGAGCAGAGGAATGTTTCAAATGGGATAGCAGATTGACAGTCAAACATAGTTCAGAATGAAAGTAAAGACGTACCTTTGATGCTCATGAGATATGAAAGGTGATTGTGTGTACATTAACTTTATATTTACGGACAAATGTATGTGTATTGAGCATAGATAAGCTAGTATGTATATGTGATGTATTTGTTTGAATTTTTACATATAATTTGTAATTGTAACTTTTACGTATAATTTATAATTTAACTCTATTTTTTTGCCTTAAACAGATAGATTATTCCGAACACAATATTATAATTTCTGATGAATAAGATTAAGTTGGACATTGATTATGACTAAAGGAAGGTAATGCCAAGTTTTTATTACTTATCTATGAGTTTATTTAATTATTAATGTTATACAATATTTCATTTTAATTTGTGTAGGGCATGAAAATTCGGTTGTTAAATCTACTAATTGTCGTGAAGGGGAAAATTTGATCCCTTTCACGGGATTTTGTGAATCATGGAATTTGTTGTTGTTTGGGATTTTGGTTTGTAATATGATTATTATTTGGTGTAATTATTATTTCGGATTGTATATATGATTTGTAATATGGTTGTTGGTGGAATTTGGTTATTTTGGATTGTAGTTTGTACTTTGTAATATAGTGTGATATCTTTAAATATCATATTTATTTGTGTTAGCTTGTTAGTTTTATGAAATTATATAGCATTATTAAATAAACAGGTAAGTGAGTCAAACGAATGGTTAACCGTGTTAAATTAACCCTACCCAACTCGACATGTTTAAAATTAGACGTGTTAAACGATTCGTATTGTGTTACCCGTTTATTAAACAGTTCGTGTTTGCGTTTAGATTTTTTATCCATTTATTAAACGTGTCATGTACAGGTTTACATGTTTTTCATCTGTCACCCGTTTAACCTGACACGTAACTGTTTAACCCGACATGTTTGACACTCCTAGTTACAGTTAATATTATGAGAAAATTACACTTCGGTGGCCTCTAATATGTCTGATATCTCACATTGCTCCTTCAACTATCACATCTCTTAAATTGCACTTCCAACTTTAATTATAAGTTCCATATTAACATTGCACCTCTAATATCGATTTGACATTATCACATCTATAGTTATAATAAAAGTGTATTTTATTACTTTTACTACATATTCGGTCCAAAACATAATGGATGTTTAATTTTGGAACAGTGTGGCAGCAATTTAAATAATGGAGTGGGCAATGTGAGAAACAAAACTTAATAGTTGAGATAAATAAGTGAGCTTGGAGGAGCTTTTGACCCATCCCATGGTTTTTTTAAAAAAATTTCCCAACTAAGGGTTGGTTTGAAAATTATTCACAAACGCAAATAGTTTAAAACACGTCAGTTGGTCTGATGTTTTTAGGCTTAAAAACGTCAGTTGGTCTAACGTTTTTAGCCAAAACACGTCAGTCCAATTAACGTTTTTAAGCTTACTATGTGGCCAATATAGAGCATAAAGACGTCAGTACAACTGACGTTTTTAAGCTTGCTATGTGGCCAATATAGAGCATAAAGACGTCAGTACAACTGACATTATTAATTAAAAACTTCAGTTGCACTAACATGTTTAACAACTCAAACGAACCCATTTTTCCCTATTCTCTTATTTTTCCTTTTTTCCTTATTTTCTCTTCTTCCCCTCCCATTTGAGCCCTAACTTAGGCGACATCACAGCAGCCCCATAGCAGAAGACATTCTCAATCACCACCATCGCAGAACCCCCCAGCCCCACCCACGACCACCCAACTATCGAAGCCCCAAATCCAAGCTATTTTGTCAGCCTCCATTACACTGTTGACAGCATCCACCACATCTAGTGAGAATTCTTAGATTATTTAATGAAAAATATTGAAATTATATGTAATAATAGAAATATTGAAATTCTATGAAAATATTTATTAGTGAATTGAGTTGATTATTGATTGAGTTATTGAGTTGAGTATTGAGTAGATTATAGATTATTGATTATTGAGTTGATTATTGAACTGGGTATTGAGTAAATTATGGATTATTGATTATTGATTATCGATTATTTAGTCGATTATTGAATTGTGTATTGAGTAGATTATAGATTATTGATTATTGATTATTGATTATCGATTATTTAGTCGATTATTGAATTGGGTATTGAGTAGATTATAAATTATTGATTATTGATTATCGATTATTTAGTCGATTATTGAATTGGGTATTGAGTAAATTATAGATTATTGATTATTGATTATTGAATTAGGTACTGAGTAGATTATAGATTTTTGATTATTATTGAGTTGTTTATTGAATTGGGAGCTTTTTACTCATCCCAAGGTGTTTTGGAAAAAAAAGTCTCAAACGTCAATTGTAGCTAAAAACATCAATTGTACTAACGTTTTTAGCTATTCCCTCATATTGCAAAAACGGTTTGAATAAATAACACTTACACCCCATGACATTTGATTTTATTACAAGGACACATCCTCACATTTCAAAAATTATACTGAGACTCCTTGACATTTGAACACGTTTGACAACCGCACCCATTTTAACCCTCATATATCCTTGAGATTTACCAATGCCCATATCCAATCTATTCAACTCACCCCTCTATTTGACTAAGTAAAAATAAATAAATTGAAAAAAAATTAATGCTTCTTGCATTCTAGTTAAGTTCATTTTATCTTTTCAAAAAAAAAATTAATTTTATCTTTTCGATATTAAGTTAATTTTTTGGTTTTGGTCAATACTATGATTATCACCTACCACTCCAAGTCCATCGATTGTCACCACCACCAGCACCATTGATGTACTTTATGTATTATTAATATTTTTTTGGGGGGTGGGGAGGGGGAGGTAAGGATATGAGATTGGAACTCGTAACCACCTATAGCCAAGAGTGAGGCCAATCTATAACCTCTGTGTACCTTCTTTCTTAGGCTCCTCTTTCTAAAATATACTTCATGGGTTACCAATATAATCATAGTTGTCAAGGCAAAAAAAAAAAAAAAATTTCCCGACTAAACAACGAAATACATACCAACAGATCTTTCTGCTAGACTTTGTGCTGTTATATAAACAACTTTTAACTTTTTATGAATTTTTCAAGTTCTGTTACAAACTCATTCATACTTTTTTCAACTTATGTTATAAACTGAGTCATTCATTTGTTTGAGAATTGGATCATTGTTTTTTGTTAATTTCAGTTTGCTCTAACTTTTGGTACGTACTCGTTCATTCCGTCCTCTTTATGTCCTATCTAATTCAACATGTATATGATACTGAAATTTGACTTTATCGTATTAAGCATATTCTATGTCTCTATCAATCTCAATCAAAGCAACTTGGTTATGTTGCTTAAATATCAAGCAACACATTTTTCTACAAAATAAGCATGTTGATTAATGCTATAATGTCATTGAAATATTGTAAGGCAATTACTACCTTGTCAGCCAACAAAATCGGCGAAATTGTTTTCCTGGTTAATGACATGTTTAAATTGTGATTCAATACATGATAACATGTTTAAGATATACCCTCTGTTAGGACACTGATGAAATGTGAATATGTTTTTCCTCAAGTATTAACTGTTTCTATCCATCCCCAGGTTCTTCTGAATTCAGAACTTATTCCATAAGGGAAACTAAATGGCGGGAAAACAAGTTACTATTTTGCTATATTGGGGTGGAAGAATGATATATGGATTGGAGGGTTTATCATACAGTTGTCCTCCCAAAGGTGGAATTGCTATCAATAGTGGTACACATATGACTGAGTTATTGAGTAAAATTTACACTGTAATGGGGTTGGACATGGTGCATAACAAGTTGAAGTTGACTTATAGATATCTTTTTACACTTGAAACAGTACCTAACATGAATACATATGTTGGTCTAAAAATTGTGAATGATGAACTAGTGACNGGGTTGGACATGGTGCATAACAAGTTGAAGTTGACTTATAGATATCTTTTTACACTTGAAATAGTACCTAACATGAATACATATGTTGGTCTAAAAATTGTGAATGATGAACTAGTGACTTCTATGGTTAATGTGGTATTTGACAATCTCAGCATTGCTAGTGTTACTATGTATGTGGAGACGAAGGACATCATTGATGGCATAGGTTGTAGTCAGACCGGAGGGTGCACAACAACAACTGCCCTGTCTTACACTGAGGTGCTTAAGCGAGAGATGGGTACCTTGACATTTTCAACTTCTAGTGTGACGGGTGAATGTTCAACTCTCCGTGGGGATGCAATTAATGGATGAGTCTGGGCTGTATTTTCACACCCAACAAGGAATTGCAACATCAACATATGGTGGGTACTCAACCAACAATTCACTGAGTTAGAATTTTCAAATGTGTGAGGCTGGAATTGACTTGGGTGAACAAGATGATGTCCATCAACCAATAATTCAACAAATGCCTATCCGAGAATATGAAGAAATGTGTGCCAATGATCGTATAGATGTCTCTGATGATGACGACAAAGAAGAAGAGTTTGAGGAAGTAATGATTGATGAGCCAAATGACGAAGATGAGAATGGTAAAGATTTTAAGGCTACTCAGGTGGTGGAGATGCATAAGTCTTACTCTACCTTATTCACAACCATAGAATTTGGTCAGTATACTAAAGTAGATAGCTTAGTATTGTCAGTTGAACAAAATTTATGGGATCCAGTGAAGATGGAGTTGGCGAAGGGCATGATTTTTAAGGACAGAGCTTCATTGATTAGGGCTATTAAATGATATTAAATTAAGCTGAATCAGGATTTTATCGTGGTTGATACGAACACAACGGTGTGGGCTGTACATTGCATCATTTATATGCAGCCTACCTACACGTGGAGACTACGTGCTTGTTTTAAGAAAAAACTAAAAATATTTCAGATTACGAAATATAATAGACCAAATACCTGCTTATACCCTAGAATGAGTAGTGACTATCGACAGTTAGACTCTGATCATAATATACTGGGACTCGTGGGTGATACACCACAAACAAAAATTCTGACAATTCAAAAGAATATAAAGGAGAAGTTCAAGTATGATATTTCCTATAAGAAAACATGGATTGCGAGAAACAAAGCTATTGCTAAGATTTTCGGTGACTGGGACTCGTCATATGACTTGTTACCAAAGTTTTTGGGTGTCATCAAGAAGTATAACCGTGGCTCGATTGTGAAGTGGCAGTATAACTATGAATATCCTTAATATAATATTTTTTTACGAGTATTTTGGGCATTCAAGGCCAGCATTAAAGGGTTTAAATATTATCGACTGGTTGTCAGTATTGATAGGATATTTCTGTGTGAAAAGTACAAGAGAAAGTTGTTAGGGAACGTACAAATTAGTCGTGTGGAAAGTACAAATGAGTTATGTTCACGACGTGACGCCATTTCATAGGGAGCGTGGTCTTGTTGAAGTGTCAACTGGCGGTGGTCATAAACAAGTTGTGTGTCTTGAAAATCGTTTGTGCACATATGAAAAATAGGAAATTTACAGAATTCCTTCCTCGTATGTGTTGGTTGTATGCTCTTATCTTCAGTTGTATTTTCAGCCGTACATAGATCTCATATACACTATCGACACTGTGAAGTAAATTTGGGCATCTACAATGTTTCTTCTGAAGGATGTGCATTATTGGGATGATCCCCCATATCCCAAATTAGTCCCTAAAAGTAACCAACATCGAGACTTGGTTGGTTGGCCACGGACGATGCGCATTCGAAATGAGATGGACTTCCCGCTAGAGGGTCGTA